GGGGGGGGGGGGGGGGGGGGGGGGGGGGGAGGGGAGGGGGGAAGAGGAGGAGATGATGATCATCTCTATTGTGACCAGGAAGAAAAGCCACCCACTTCCTGAGCTTCAGATGATTAAAATTGGAGTTACTATTTAGACTTTTTACATAAGTCCATTATATATCAAAGCCACCCCACTGACAAAGAGTGGTCCAAATGCAAGAGTAAGGAACATCTTATTTTACTATTGGCACATAACTTCAAAACATCTTTGAAATGCAAGACAGAGCAAATCAGACAATTCCAATTGGAATAATGCCGACCTTGTGAAATTATTATGAAACTATGTGATATTAAAATGCCCTAGAATGCAAATGATATTGCAAACACAATGCTGGGTGATATGTGATTTCGTAAAGCCAGAAAGAATAAGAAGCCTCTGGCCTGAGCACTGCCCAATTACAGCAATAACAAACAAGACTGTGGATTTCTGAAGAACGGGATCCACATTACAGAATGAAAACGCTCGCCAGTCTTCCCCCTGTCTATGCAGACATCATCATTGCAAATCAGATGCTACCTTCAGTAAAGTAGCCTGAGCTCAGCCATTTCTGCTCAGGTGTGAATACAAGCATCTAACATAACCTCTTGATAGCTTTCCTTTGCCCATGGACAATACCCCCCCTTTTTTTTTTGTCAAAGAGAGTACATGCAAGCCACTACACTGATGGGTAATCAAGTTATATCTGGATTTCCTTCTACACGCCTAACACAAAGAGAGGCCAACATGCAGGCTTCACTCAACCTCCCTGTACTTCATTTTTCAAGAAATGTGTCTCCCTAGATCTCAGTAGGCTTAGTCTTTTAAAAGGCATTCCAATTAATACGTTCTCAAGCTTGTTGCTCATTCCCCCTCCCCTTCAAAGGATAATAAGCGGCATATAGGTGGTGTTAATCTAGAAGACAAAAATACACCTTTGTCTGTTACTGGCTTAAGGAAAGGAGTGTTCAGAAAGCAATTCAAGCCAGAGATGGGAAGGAAGTCGTTTTTTGACATGCTTTTCCTTCTGCATACTTTGGCAGCAGCCAAACATTGTAATGATAGTCCCATCTCTCACCCCACTACTGACAGGCCTTACCTCCAAAATACAGAGTCGGACCCATTGCTTTGCCTGAATTTGTCTAACAGTATCACTGAACCCTTCTTTGGTTCTAAATACTATCGGTTTCACTCAAGGCAACAAAAGAGAAACCTGCAACTTCCCACTTGTATCCCAAGAACACACACACATACTTTCTAAAATAACACAGCATTTCCATGTCAATCATGCAAAGCACATACCCCAAAGGCTATCCCTGCGAGTGCTTGTTTCTCCCTCTCCACAACTTTAAGGATATTCCCCTTACTTATGCTCCAAACACTGAGCTCCCACAAAAAGTGGAAGCTGACAATTTCAACAACACACAGCACACCTCAGGTTCCCTTTTTGCTTGACCTTCCTGGATATAGCCTGAGCAAATTAATGTTTGCTTTTATTATTTTTCTTTCCATTTCCAGCTAGTAGGCCATCAACAAGCTTTAAAAAAAGAAAAAGTTTACCACCACTGTAATTGGATCCAAGAAGGTTACCACAACAGCTGGAGTGACCATGTAAGGAAAGGCTTCTGGCATTTGCCTTGTGTCGAAGTATTTTTCTTACAGCCTTAGTCTCAAAGATACATACATTGCTTTGCCATCAGGCCCTCTAAAAACCATACCTTATAACAAATACGAAGCACAAAGACATTTGATGTCCACTTCTTCTATCAGATTCCTAAAAAGCACCCCCCTGAAAAATGAACCCAATCAGATTTTAGCTTCCCATTTCATGTAATCAATACGGCACTCTATAGTATAAGAATTGACACTACAAGGCAAATAAATTGGGTGGAGGGAATGTCTGCTACCTTACCATTTTAATAAAAAAACAACTACCAAAGGACCTGCAAAGGTTGCAAACTAAATCATGCTTTCTTTTCTGGAAAATAAAACAAAAAGAGTTGTATTTGTTGCCATCCCCACCAACTACAGTGATCAGGAACTGAGGCTGCTGAACAAGGCCATGGTTATAACATTAAGGCACACTTAGGAGCACAGCAGGGATGACAGACTTCTGGCTTATCAGATTCCACTGTGTTTATTAGATCTTCAAGATTCATCCATCAAAGTCAAGTGTAAGAGGCACATTTTAAATTTTCAAAAAGTGTTCCTCTAAGCCCACCTTGATATTATGAATTTGTGTTGTGTTGCATTGAATTGAACCCACTGTCTGTTCAAACGTAAGTCCACTCCTGATACCCCACAGATCTTTCAAATATAGGTGTTTGGTTTTGTTTTGTTTTTTAAATCACATTTTTGATAAACAGTGAGAGGTAAGAACCCTTGTCAATCAACTGTGGATCATCCTTAAGGTGTACAAGTAAGCTTGATGTACCTCCTGTCCATCTTTACGATCTACAGAAAACCAAGCCTTTTTCACTCTCTATAGGCCAGCTTCTTTAACAAGACGACTCTATAGTAAAGGGGAGTTGCAACAAGAAACCTGAGCTAGAGAAAGATTATTTTTACCAGGGGCCAAAGAAGCATCACCTCGTCTTCATAAGTATTCGAAAGAGAAGCACTTCCTAAGGCATGATTTTCGGTTCCAGACACGGAATGTTTGTGGACATGGATGTAGACAGCATCAATTCCCGCCCCGCTGGGAGAAGAGACGGGAAGAGGAGAATCTCCCCTTTTTCCCCAAACTCTTTTGAACATCATCACCTCACCCCACCCCACCCCACCCCACCCCACCCCAGGAAGATCACATTCTTTTTCAGCAAAAAAGGGAACTTACCCGAACGGAAGAAAGCCGCGATGTCTGCGGAATCCTTGGCAGCGTCTTCCGCCCCTTCCCCAGCCGCGTTGCCGCTGTTCGAGGAGGCGGTGGTGGAACCGCTCATGGCTACTGACTGAGGTCGGTGGCTCCTCCGGATCTGATCCCTCTACTACCGCCACGATGATCAGCCTCCTTCCTAGATCCTGACAGCAGGATGACGGGAAAACGACCCCCTGTTTTTGTCCCCCGCCGGATCCCCGGCTTCACCTTCTAGCAAAAAACGAGGAAGAAATCCATCCAGAGACACGGTGGTGGTGATGCTGCAAAGGTGTGGGGGGGGGCGGGGGGAGAGAAAGAGGTGGCTGAATGGATGGATGGCTCGATTGCACAGGCAGCAGCAAATGGTTACAATAATAGGAGGAGGACACGACGGAAGGTGTGCGCTCAGCGATCACCGTTCTAGGAGAGCCCCCGGCAGCCCCTCCAGAGAGGCAGGGTGTGCGGCGCATGCATAAGTAATGGATGCATGCGGGAGCAAAAAAAAAAAAAGAGACAATCGCAGGAGGGGGAAGGGAGGGCGCATGGATGTTGATGGGAGGAAGGGGCTGCAATCAATGCAGCAGCAGAAAGCCGGTGAGAGGGAAAGAGAATGAAAGCAGGCGGCAGCGGGCGTGCAAGTTGGTGGAAGGTTATTGCGGTCTTTGGGGAGCCAGGCAGGAACAGCTGCGTTAGCAACAGTGCCCTGGACCGGAGCTGAAGCCGCCCCGCTCCTCCATCTTGATTGCAATTGCAAAGGTGGGTGGGAACAGAGGAGGAAGGAAGAGAGTTCAATCCCCGCCCAGGGAAGTCAAGGGAAAAGAAAAAGAGGGAGAGAGCAGCACTGGGACGCAGGGAGGGCAGCCTGTCGGAAAGCTCCGGACGCCTCCGTCAGCCTTCGGCAGGTTGCACAGGAAGAAGCAATCGAGAGCGGTGATTGGAGCGCGCGGCTAAAGAAAAGAACGGTTTTCTATTGGCTGGGAGCGCGTTAGAAGCGGCTGCCAGAGTCCAGGCAGGGAATCCCCTTTAACACAGTACATAGATGCTTTAGTCAGTTTCTGCGCCTTGTTGACCAAGAGGATCAAAGAGCGCCCTCTTTCTGGGGGAGGCCATCATAAGGCGTGGTGTCTGCAACTGAGATTTGCGAAGGACCCGCTCTCTTCTCCAAGAAATGCTCCAGCCCGGTCTCCCTTACCCAGCCAATAATTACAGTAGCTCGAAAAGCTACGTTCGCTTTTGCATCCCGAAAGGAAGGTGGGGTAGAGGTAGAAGGGATCTCTAACCTCTCGTTTGAAATAGTTGGCACGAGCCATCTTTATTCTGACAATGGGGAAGGCTTCACGAGGCAACAATGATCGAGATCTACCCGGTGAAGTTTATAGGGGTGGAGGTGGGCGCCCGATTGTTTAATCGGAAAGCGTTTTCTGTTCCCAGCTCAGCCTTCACGAGCAGGATTCGGAAGAGACCCAAGGTTGTAACGGGCATACATTTTTATAATCTGCCCCTGCCAAAGACTGGGCGTTTTATCCGGCGATTTTATGACTAGCAAGTTCAATTGAGTTTGAAAAGGATGTACTCCCAAGTTAAGCCCTTTCAAGATTGCTGTCCTTATTTGTCAGGAAAACCTATATCTTTCCACTTTTTTTTTTTTACAGTTCAATTTCAATTTTCCTTATTAAGATCTCTTTCTTTCTCTCTTTTTCTTTCTCTCAGCTATAAAATATGTGTTCTGCTCCCTTGTGCTAATTCGTTATGTTGTATGTCTGGAGTCAGACCATATGGCAGCATTTCTACGGTTTTATTTGAAGATGATCTCATGCAACATTAAAATTTGGGTGTAGCTATAAGGGGTGGGGGAAGAGAACAGACTTTCAGTGGCTCCATGCTGAGTCTTTAAATAAAAACACAGAGTTGAACTCACCAGCAACCTGTGTTCTGGTCTTCCTCCTGATATTAGTGTGATAGTTCAGCTTTAGAACTTCAGGGATTTCATCTTGTCTTTTGGGAGCCTTCCTGAAATTTCTCAACAGCGTGTTCAATTCTGCAATATTGATTTGAGTGTCATACTTTTGATCTGGTATCCATATACACTGTATCCATATTTTAGCTCCTTTTCTCTCTCTTCTCCATTTTGTATTCTCCAGGGTTTTGATCAATGTGCTCAATTTTTAAAAAGGGTATTTTTCTTTAGGATATATAGTACAATAATTGTTCAAAATAAGGCTCACCCACTGATGTTGTGATATGCTGTGGGTTGCTCTCCTTCTTGCAGTGATTCAGAAAAGCTGATCCACAGTTAACTGGGGGTCTGTAGAGATCCACCAAGTGCTGTTCCATGTTCGCTGCCAATCAACTGGCCAGACCAGAGCCACTCATTACCACAGCTCCAGCTCCCCTGGATGCTGCCAGTGAACTGGTTCATAAACATGGATCAATGGCTAAAAACTAGTTCACTGACATGTGCATGCAGTAATATAAGGAGCAACGTAAGTCGTAATATTCAGGAAAGGGGCAATAATGAACAAGCTGTGGGTTACCAACTGGGAGTCCACATTTGCTATGCTAAGTGAAACTGTGATCTCACACAAGCAAAAGGGCAAATACAGAATATGACATCTAGGGTTTTGCTGGGCTGGAGATCCACTCAACTCCTAACCCCACAGCACTCAGAAATTTCTGCTGAAGACATCAACAAATGTCTTCTAGTGATTTGTTAATGTTTCAGTGAGACATCTGAAAAGATATCTGTGGACATTCTTTCATGGATGATACTTATTTTGCTAGTGAAGCTAAATGTACCCAACCAAACACAGTTTGTGGAATAACTTCAGATTTAAGAATTTCAATTTCTTTCTGGGATTTGGAGTTGAGGAACATATGGGATTTTATTCATTTAATGTGTCAGGTTTCTCTTACAGCATAAATTATACTTTTGTTGCTTTCCTGCCTCAAATGGAAGAAAACAGTCGCCAATTTGGCAAATTCTGGCAAAGAGAGCTCTAGGTGCTTAAAAAAAAAAAAAAATTGGCGCCATATTTGCCTATAGATGATGCCAGCATGCCTGAGCAGAAAATGCCTATTCACATTTTAAGCAGCCAATGATTTATGCATAACTTCTGCCAACTCAGGGGCCATATTGGGGTTCATGTAGCATGCTGAGGACTATATTCCAAATGTGGATATAGGTCCCTGATTTGCTTCAGAGTTCTTAGAGGATGAAATTGGAGCCTTAAGCTTCTAAAAGGCTTAATCATATATTTTGACCTTTAAAACATGCCCATTAAAAAAAGGAGTATTTTGACTCCACCCACACAGAGAGCTTTAGGGGCCACAAAAAAGTTCCTCCCCCCACAAAAAAGTTTTTGCCTGCCAGTGAGTTCCATAATGACAACAAGGACATCTCCGAATGCATTCTATATGATGTATCTTCAATATTCCTGTAACTGGGTCATTGATTACTAAAAGTTTGTAGAACCTTCCTGTGCAAATTTATCTGCTGCTGGGCAGAAACATTTTGGACATGGGATTTTATCACTAGTGGTGGACAAAAAAGGAACAAGAGCACAAAAATGAGCACAAAAATAAATGAGATGGCAATCTTAGGTAAAACAGCAGTAGAAGATTGATGTGTAAATTGTCATATATTCCAAAATGAAGGTGTTAATTGGGAAAACAGAAGAACATTCAACTAATAGGAGAACAAAAGTGTCTATTTAAACAATTGTAGTTTTTTAGCTGTACGGTTCAAAATCTAGCCATGTTGCCTAAAAATGTAAAGAAACATACCTGTTGATTAGGTGTCACTTAATGAGGACAATTGTAAGACCTCTTCAACCTTAAAAAAAAAAAAAATTAGGCATCATAGTATTGTAGCTTGTATGGAAACCAGTGTATTTAGCGACATACACACGAGGATTCTCCTGAGGATAATTGGAATGAATGCAAGAATGGCTGAAGGATGCTGGCATCATTTGAAGAACATCATCACAGAGGAGAGACAAGAACACTCAAGCAACTAATGTTTAATAGCACTCGGGGGTGGGGGGTTATACTGGGCCAGTCTAGAAACATCTTTCATCATAGTGCTACTACTGAATTCACATATCACATTAAGTCATTTTTTGTTAATCATAGTTTAGTGAGTAAATCACAATCAGGGAGTAAAAGCAATACACTACGCCACATAGACAAACCACATAATGGCTTGGTGTAATTTATGAACTATGTTACAGAACTTCTCATTTAGCTATATGGCTAATACTTGATAGATTTAATCTTTATGAATCCATCTATTACTCTTGTTAAAAAACACTGCCACATCTTGCAAGGACAATATTTGTATAAATATCACAAGATACTATAGTTTTGCAATGCTTCAGTTTTGCTTCTAAAAAGATGCTTCAGAACATGGAGGGGTGCAAGTGCTGCACCTATTCAATTCTTTAAAGCAGTGCTATATAATCTTATGAAAAGACATGGCTGCTTTAAAGAGTTGCAGTAGGTGCTCCCATATGTATTGAACAGGCATAAGGATGTCTGAGCATATATTTGAAGACATAGTGTCCAAGAAACAACATTTTTGGACCCCTGATCTGATGTTCCCAGGAAGACATACTGAGGAAGAATCGTCACATATTGATAGCCCTATATATTTGAAATTATATCAAATAATAGAGTCACTCTTCTGGACCAATGTAAGAACAGTAGGGCTACTTTGAAAAGAATATACTACAAATAAATAATAATTCTTAACAAGGAAAAAGTATTTTTTACTTGTGTTACAAGATGGTATACATATAAATAAAAAATAATTTAAGTAAAGACAATTCTGTAGGGCTAAGTTGCCAAAAGAAAGCAGGTTTCAAGGAAGACAAACCTTATATTAAGTCCACCATGAGATGCATACTGCTCCATCTTAGCAGTTATTTAACCACCTATTTCAAAATTAAGGTATTGCGGATGGAAAAAGTGCAAAACAAGACAAGCAATATAAACAATTCAAATTACACTCAGTTAAGTGAATTTGGCAGCAGATGGATGAAAGAGATTTGTAAGTTTCATTCAATAAATCAGGCTATGGCTTGCTCACTCTGGAGGCTAAACAAAAGCTTGAGGCTCAAGAAGCCTCCAACACAAAAGGGCCTTTGGCCATTACTTCATTTTTTGGCATGACACTGAAGAACTTTACTAGCCTGGACAACTGAGTAATTATTTTTTCTTTAGGTTGCTTTTCACTTCAGAAAAGTTTGAAAATATTCCGCTTTAGGAGTCTTTGCTGGCAGAGAACAGTGGCTCAAAATTAGATCAACAGATCTTAAATACTCCAGATATTTATCTGACAACTTCATGGACATAGAGAAGTGCAAGTTATTTCCGTGCAACGCAATAATGTGGAATACATAAAGGCTTACAGCACTACACGTTTCAGAAGTCTCTTAGTTCCATGGGCTTTTGTTACATCTCACTCCAATGTTCTCCCACACAAAACCCACAATGAAGTTTGACAAACAATGTGATTAGTGTTTGGTGATTTATCATCCCTCCCTTCAATGTGCTTTAATAAACTGCCTTCCTTACTAATTGGGGTGGTCCAAGAAGAACTGCCTGAGATGGGAAGAGAATCCACTGTCCCAAGCAATGTCCTTATTTATCCTCTGAATGGCTTGCCTAGAAATAGCTACAGTGGTGACTGTGACAGCTGTAACACTATAGTATCCCTTAGCACTTCCTCAAAACAAGGCATAAAGAGTGGTAGAAG